TACCCTTTTGGGGTAGGGGGGTGTTTGTTTTAGTGATTTCAAATATCAACATTGGCTACCAGAAATCACTTACTCTGCCTTTAAGCGTTTCATCCAGGTCGCCAGCAGCAAACAATGGAGCGTGCTCTGCTGGACAAACTAAGTAATTACACCATTTCAAGCATTTTATCTGCGTTATATGTTCGTAAAAAAAATTTCATATCGGCGGCATATTAGTCGATACCGATATATCGGCGACAGGCTCATATCGGCCGATAATATCGGCAAACGATATATCGGTCGGGCTCTAATAAATACTAGACAATGCTAATTTTTTTGATTATAATTTTAGTAGACTAGAACACGTGGATATGTTGTCATTCTTACACTATAATACTGAACTTTGACTCTGCTGGACAAACTAAGTAATTACACCATTTCAAGCATTTTATCTGCGTTATATGTTCGTAAAAAAAATTTCATATCGGCGGCATATTAGTCGATACCGATATATCGGCGACAGGCTCATATCGGCCGATAATATCGGCAACCGATATATCGGTCGGGCTCTAATAAATACTAGACAATGCTAATTTTACATATAGATAACAGTGAACATGATAACTGGAAACTGGATGTAGTGCAGCATAGTTTCATGTGTGTCCAGTGACAGCTGAACCCTCCTGTCCACATCCAGTTCACACAGCGTGGATCTTTTGCACACACAGACCGTCATGCATACAGTACATGATGTTTTTATACAGGATATAATGCCCATGCAGCGAATGTTGAAAATCTAAATAAATGCCGCACTCATGAACACCTACCAGCAGAACAGAAAAACGCTGCTGATAATAATAATTTAAAAAAAAATGTATTTATCGATTGCCCACTAGTAGAGTGTGTTAATATATGAAAAATATAATAATGAAGTTCTCTTAAACCGTGCTTATGTTAATTCTGATGAAATGAGAGCAACTGTGAAATGAACAATCGTAATTCCTAACCACGATTGATCATTTTTGAGCAAAATAAATGTGATTACCAGTTTAACCATTATCGTGCAGCCCTAATTCAAATCAATTTTTTTTGCCACATTGAACAGTCTAATACTAATAGTTTCCTCCCAGTGTTTACCTTTGGCCATGGAGAGTTGTCTCTTTCAGCTCCAGGCTTTCGTCCTCCTCTTCCTCCCCCTTTACCTGGTGAAGATAAAAACTTGCCTTAAAACCAGAACAATTTCTTAATATGCATTCTAAAGTAAGAAAACCAGGGCAAATCCATCCATAACCCTAGATTATGTTTAGGCTTAAATACAAGCCCTTTGTCTACAGGTCAAAGTCAGCTGCCTGCAACTGAGCGCTTGATTCAGTGCCTGTCAAAAAGCTGATTATGTACACTTTTAAGCAGGAGAAACCAACGTTTTTATTAAAAGCAAGAAAGCCAAATGACTCTGGATACGTGCTTTTGTATAATACTGCAGTAGAGTAGAGATGAGCACGGAAGTGAATTGTGCATCCAGAGCTTACGTGTCACGCTGGCACTGACAGAGCGAAGCGGAAGTGCGCTGCACACCCACCGCTAATGCTAACTACTACATAAAACACCTCAATAACGCTAAGTGCATCATATCATAATGCATTTAAAGTATTGATTTGAACCAGCATTACATCTTAACTATGCTGACTAAGTGTTCGTCAAAAAAATCTGTGCAAATTTAGCAGAATTATGTAGCTAGCTCAGGCTACAGGTTGCACTATCTATTGTGTCTATGCTAAAAAAAAATACGGTTCAGAAATAATGTATCATAATTAAATAAGCACAAACTAATCCGAATGAGTAAATTGTGCACGGGAAACGTTACAGCACAATGTAAAATAGAGTCAAACAGTCTTAAGTGATAGCTAGCTAGCTTTATCTACAGGTCAAAGTCGCAAATGGATTTAATATTTAATTTACTCACAGATGCACCGATGAAGGCAAGGTGCGGCGCGAGCTCGGCCTCCAGTGCGAGCGTCAAGCTGCTGACGCGCGCGGCTCCGTGATTCGCGAGCTGAATCTCCGCCGTGATCTTCGCGAGGTGCGAGCTCAGATCCAGCGTGCGCTTCACGTCCTCATTCACCAGCCCGTCCGCACACACCGACGCGCAGAAAACACACGACGCCAGCACGAAACTCACCGCTCCGCCGCTCCACATGGTCTTGTGTTTATATGTTGTGTTTTAGAGATTAATGAGTGTAATTAGTCCTGTCTAACGAACGTGTTTGCGCGTGCAGTGAGGCCTCGCGCTGCAGAAACGGCTCCTGAAGGATGACGCTTCATTCATTCCCTCCGGAGTGACGTCACCAACATGGCGGCCAGTGACTGAACCATAGATATGTACAGGTAGATGCCTCATTAGCGACTGTTTCTATGGGCCGCTTTACGAATGAGGAATCTACCTGTACATATCTATGGATTGAACCAACCTTTCAAAGGAGCAAGTACATAGATACTTTTCCTGCTATGATACACTTAAAAGTTTGTGGAGTAAATGGGGATAAAATGTATAATTACATCCAGCAAGGTCATAAACGGATAAAAAGTGACAGAAAAAACATTAATCATGTTACAAAATATTTCTATTTCAAATATATGTTGTTCTTGTGAACTTTCTAGTCATCCAAAAGTAAGTTTCCATAAACAATTAAAGCAGCACAACTGCTTTCAACATTGATAATAAGAAATATTTCTTGAGCAGCAAATCATAATATTAGAAGGATTTATGAAGAATCATGTGACACTGAGAATGAAGTAATGATGCTGAAAATATAGCTTTAACATCACAGCAATAAATTACATTTTAAAGTATCAAATTATTACAAACTATTTCAGTTTAAAATAGAAACATTTTAAACTGTAATAATATAATATCATAATATAATAATATTTAATAATATAACTGCTTTTACTGTTAAACAAATGCAGCCTTGGTGAGCATAAATCTTCTTTAAAAAAAAAAAAATCTTTTGAAAAGTATATATACACACACACACACGTTTTTATAGACATACAAAAACAATTATGTCCCATCACTGTTAGTTTATTGAAACAATAGACAGATGATGTCCATTCCAAAATGATTTTAGCTAATACAACAGGGATGCTATGAAAAATAGGTGTATTAACTCAATGTCATATACCATGAACCAAGACCCAAAAAACGGCCATTCTCTCATAACAATCCTAACTTACCCCTGTCCCAGATTACAATGCACAAACATTAAGGTCAACACTTTAAAGTTCAACATTTTATGAAAATGTTTAAATTGGTCTAAGAACATGTAATAGCCAACATAGAAAAATCAGCCAATCGAAAGTGCTATTAAGAAACATCAACACTAATAAAGCCAACAGAAAATATTTAGCATTACAAAACCCTAAACAGGACGTTATTCAATCACATTTAAACACTAAGAACAGCTCGTCTTGTCGGGTGAGAATGAGGAGGAATGCTTCAGTGGTTTTGGATGTTATAGGTCTGTTGAATGTTTAGTGTGTCTCGTAGCATTAGGTCCCGAAGTCGCCACAGAGCATCAGCCATGGTCTTGTGAGCGCCCTTACTCTTCAGCCAGTGAGAGGGCAGACGGCTCTCCTGCTCTTTTGTGAGCCGGACATTTTTCCTGCGAGCTGAAGTGACACACAAGCACAACATTTGGCCATTTGCTGGTGTTACCCTAACATCAGTTCCAAAATCTAAGGACAGACTCGTTAGTAGATAATACACATTTTTCTAATACTAGTAATGGTTTTCTAAAATGTTTAAATTCTGAGTAAATACTGTGTAACACAAACCACCATTTAAAAAAACAGTAAAACATTTATTGATGGTACAAAAAAATCTATTTCAAATAAATGCTGTTCTTCAAACTATTTATTAATCAAAGAATCTTAGAAGAATATTTACAGCAGTAAAATTATCACAGTGATAATATATAATAATAATTATTTATTAACAAATTTAAACCCCACTAGCATTCTCTATTTATTATATTAAAAAATTGACCCTCTAACTCTAGCGTTCTCTATTCCTTTTCTATTCTATCATTCTAGTCACTCTTTAGACAACACATCACTTACATACTGTTGCTCTTTAGTTGTAAATGTAAATGTATAATATATATAGCTCTCTAAGGAACTGTATTGGTTATGGACAAAATCCATGCCAGTCGACCACTAACATAACATAAATCTGCCATCTTACTCACCAGAGAGTGTTTGGTCCCATTTGCTGACAGTAGTGGACTCAGCACTGAGTCCTTCTATGTATCTCAGGTAAGCCTCTGAATGGAGCAGTCGCTGGGGTTTGGGTGGAGGAGCCACAAATATGGGGGTGGAGGGTTGATGCAGAGCAGGCTGCCCAACCTGCCCCTGTCCTGGGTAGGGTGGCGGGACCTGCTGGCCTGAGTTCATCACACCCATCTAGAAAAACACAAAGATTTAGAGGACCTTGGAGTATTACAAAGCACAGAAATGAAAAATAGTTGGTCTCCCTTTTACTTTTGTGCCCCAGCAGCTAAAGCCACTCTAGTGTTTTTTTTTTAAGATAAAACTAAATAAACATTTAAATGTTAATGTAACTGTTATAAATGTGTAACCCTTCAAAATCAGCATTACCTGAGTCCCGTAAGTGCTTCCTGTAGAACCTGGGGCCATTCCATTCACACCTGTGAAACATACAGCATACACTGCGAATAAGAGACTTTCAAAGTAAACTGATACCTTGAGCTCTTTATGTTCACGTTTATCTATGTATATAGATAGTATGCTTATGTGTAATCCACAGAAATGTAGACATCTGGAGTCTTTATCCTAAATCAAGCAAAAGGAGAAATTGAGAGAAATGTTCATGCTGCTCTTTTCCATACAACAAAATCCTATAGTGACGAGGGCTTGTCAAGCTCCAAAAATCTACTATAAAAGTAGTCCATGTGACTTATTTGTAATATTGTGAGCTTTCTGAAGTTATATGTTAACTGTGTTTTTAAAAGATTGAAATTGAAGTTGTTGTTCACTAAATGATTTGTTTTGTGTCAGGTTTGTTATTGATGGCACCAATCAACTAAACACTGATTTTCATTGAATAATGTTCCTCACACAAAACTACTATATACGGCTATAGAAGACTTGAAATGCATCACACAAGTCAAATGCACTCATTTTTGCATCCAAAATCACATACAGTCTGAGTAGATACTACATTTGGTTAAAAACTGACCGTTCAAAAAATATGTTCTATATGTAGCATGTGTGTGTGTAGTATGAATGCAAGTTGTCACTGTCATGTGCCCTATAATCAATTGCATCCTATTTCTGCCATACATGATACATACATGATTCCATTCCAGTGGCCCCATGGGATAGTACAGCAGTAAAGTTTTCACCTACTGATTTATGAATACTATGAATTCAGGCGTACTAATCTTTTCACATACTGCTTTTTGCTTATTATAGCCCTTAGTCAAGGTACCGTTATATTTCACTGGAATGAAAAGATGCTGTGAGGGATAAAACTTCAGTGTGTTTAATTTATTGTGCTGTTGTTTAACAACATGGCAATTGTTCAGCTGAAGAAAAAAAAAATTAGTAGACAGAAACTCCATAAAACAGTTTTGAATATTGTATGTTGTGACAATGACATGATCTAGGACCTTTATACAGTGCGTGCCATCGTAAAAACTGTAAGTCTGTCCCTCCCAGCCTCGTTGTCAGCCAAGTAAAATTCAATATGGTGTCTAACGTGACTAAGATCTACATAGTAGGGAAGTAGGCATATTCAGATGCAGTGAAAGTGTGTTTTGTATCTTTTTGAAGCTTAGCTGTCCCTAGTCACTATTGCTATCGTTATATGGAAAAGAGCTTGAAAATTCTTTAAAATAACGGTAACATTTAATAATGTGGTAACACTTTACAATATGGTCTCATTTGATAACATAAGTCAATACATTACCTAACATGAATAACAATGAGCAATATATATTTTACCGCATTTATAAACCTTTGTTGAAGTTAGTTAATAAAAAAAGATTAAGATTCTAATATAAAAAAAAATCCTCATGTTCATGTTAGTTCACAGTGCATTAACTAGTGCAACTGACTAATGTTACCACTGTTGATCTTAAAAATGTATTATAAAATGCTGAAATTAACAAGAACTAATATTATTAAATGTTGTAGAAGTATTGTTCATGTTAATTAATGTAAGTTCATGCTAATTTATGTAGTTAGAGGGGTAGTTCACCCAAAATGAAAATTTTGTCAGCATTACCCTCAAGTTGTTCCAAGCCTGTATGAATTTTTTTCTTCTGTTGAACACAAAAGAAGATATTTTGAAGAATGTTGGTAACCAAACAGCTGATGCACTCCATTTACTTTCCCCTTTTTTCCATACTAAGGAAGTCAATGGCTACTGCCAACTGTTTGGTTACATATATTCTTCAAAATATCTTCTTCTGTGTTCAGTGTGTACAGTTTTGAAACAACCTGAGGGTGAGTAAATAATGACATAATTTTAATTTTGGAGTGAACTATGCCTTTAAAGGGGTCATATGATGCTGCTAAAAAGAACATTATTTGGTGTATTTGGTGTAATGAAATGAAATGCGGTTTAAGGTTCAAAAAACACATGATTTTCCACATACTGTACATTATTGTTTCTCCTCTATGCCCCGCCTTTAACAAACAAAACCTTACTGTAAAGTGTTATCAAAACATCTAATTTTGTGTTCTATGAATGAAAGAAAGCCATACCGATTTGGAAAGACATAAGGGTGAGTAAATGATGACAGAATTGTCATTTTTGCATGAACTATTCCTCTACAGAACCTCGGGAGTCTCTTCAGTTGGTTTAGTCAAGGCCAGGGCAGACATTTGAGCCCCTGAGCCTATGGAACAGGTAGCCCCTCTTGTTAGAACTGGAGAGGCAGACAGGAAGCAACTGCAAGTGGGGACGTGTGGTTGTGAAGTGGTCCTTACCCAAATATGGCATGCTAGGCATACCCCACATGGAGTAGAGGGGTAAGGTAGGCACCCCCATGGGATGTGGAGGCATGCCGGCCATGTTAATCATGCCATCGACAGGCCCCTGAAAGGGCTGCATGGGTGGCCTGTAACTACCCATCATGCCTTTGGAGGAAGAGGAAGGTGGCGACACAACATATGCATGCATCAGTATATCATGCAGTTACGAGAATGAATTCGTGCACTACATGTAAAAAGAAAACTACATTTAGAGCATGACAGCTGATTTATCATTCACAATGAAATATGAAACCCAGCACACAAACACACACACACACACACACACCCTTTTC